TGCAATTGTCAATCCCTTATTATATTCATCTCAAATCTACTTGTAGTTGTACACCTCTCAGTCTGTTCTAGTCTCTCTTCTCTAATAGGTTACATGTTCTAGTCTCTCTTCTCTAATAGGTTACATGTTCTAGTCTCTCTTCTCTAATAGGTTACGTGTTCTAGTCTCTCTTCTCTAATAGGTTACGTGTTCTAGTCTCTCTTCTCTAATAGGTTACGTGTTCTAGTCTCTCTTCTCTAATAGGTTACGTGTTCTAGTCTCTCTTCTCTAATAGGTTACGTGTTCTAGTCTCTCTTCTCTAATAGGTTACGTGTTCTAGTCTCTCTTCTCTAATAGGTTACGTGTTCTAGTCTCTCTTCTCTAATAGGTTACGTGTTCTAGTCTCTCTTCTCTAATAGGTTACGTGTTCTAGTCTCTCTTCTCTAATAGGTTACGTGTTCTAGTCTCTCTTCTCTAATAGGTTACGTGTTCTAGTCTCTCTTCTCTAATAGGTTACGTGTTCTAGTCTCTCTTCTCTAATAGGTTACGTGTTCTAGTCTCTCTTCTCTAATAGGTTACGTGTTCTAGTCTCTCTTCTCTAATAGGTTACGTGTTCTAGTCTCTCTTCTCTAATAGGTTACGTGTTCTAGTCTCTCTTCTCTAATAGGTTACGTGTTCTAGTCTCTCTTCTCTAATAGGTTACGTGTTCTAGTCTCTCTTCTCTAATAGGTTACGTGTTCTAGTCTCTCTTCTCTAATAGGTTACGTGTTCTAGTCTCTCTTCTCTAATAGGTTACGTGTTCTAGTCTCTCTTCTCTAATAGGTTACGTGTTCTAGTCTCTCTTCTCTAATAGGTTACGTGTTCTAGTCTCTCTTCTCTAATAGGTTACGTGTTCTAGTCTCTCTTCTCTAATAGGTTACGTGTTCTAGTCTCTCTTCTCTAATAGGTTACGTGTTCTAGTCTCTCTTCTCTAATAGGTTACGTGTTCTAGTCTCTCTTCTCTAATAGGTTACGTGTTCTAGTCTCTCTTTAATAGGTTACGTGTTCTAGTCTCTCTTCTCTAATAGGCTACATGTTCTAGTCGCTCTTCTCTAATAGGTTACGTGTTCTAGTCGCTCTTGTCTAATAGGTTAGGTGTTCTAGTCTCTCTTTTCTAATAGGTTACGTGTTCTAGTCTCTCTTCTCTAATAGGTTACGTGTTCTAGTCGCTCTTCTCTAGTAGGTTACGTGTTCTAGTCTCTCTCTAATAGGTTACGTGTTCTAGTCTCTCTACTCTAATAGGTTACATGTTCTAGTCGCTCTTCTCTAATAGGTTACGTGTTCTAGTCGCTCTTGTCTAATAGGTTAGGTGTTCTAGTCTCTCTTCTCTAATAGGTTACGTGTTCTAGTCTCTCTTCTCTGATAGGTTACGTGTTCTAGTCTCTCTTCTCTGATAGGTTACATGTTCTAGTCGCTCTTGTCTAATAGGTTACGTGTTCTAGTCTCTCTTCTCTGATAGGTTACATGTTCTAGTTTCTCTTCTCTGATAGGTTACGTGTTCTAGTCTATCTTCTCTAATAGGTTACGTGTTCTAGTCTCTCTTCTCTGATAGGTTACGTGTTCTAGTCTATCTTCTCTAATAGGTTACGTGTTCTAGTCGCTCTTCTCTGATAGGTTACGTGTTCTAGTCTATCTTCTCTAATAGGTTACGTGTTCTAGTCTCTCTTCTCTAATAGGTTACGTGTTCTAGTCTCTCTTCTCTAATAGGTTACGTGTTCTAGTCTCTCTTCTCTAATAGGTTACGTGTTCTAGTCTCTCTTCTCTAATAGGTTACGTGTTCTAGTCTCTCTTCTCTATTAGGTTATGTGCTCTAATCTCTCTTCTCTAATAGGTTTCAAATTCCTCTCAAGACACTTCAATCTAATACATTTTTGAACTCTTTTCCTCTAATAGCAGCAATTTCGTTTATGTATATCATATAAAAGAATAGTCATGTCTCCCTTCATTCCTTTATAGCTCACTGCTGGATGACAATGTGGGATGGCACAATTTTAACAGTTGAACCTTCTAAACTTAGCACAGATTTTCCTTATTATGTCATAACCAAGTTACAGTGTGTGTTTTTTGCCAGTCTGAAATCCAAGTTGGCCACGTGCACCCTGACCATTCCATCTGATTGGCCGAAACATTTTCAATTTATCTTCGAAAAAAGTTACAGTGGTTGAAACTGACTCTTAACACCTAATCTTAAAAAAAATTCTGATGTAGTCTTGCTGGAAAGTGTTGTTACTCTTTGTGCCAATCTAAATTCCAAAGTGTGAATGCAATTATTGAAGATGTGTGTGCCCTTGCCCCTGACTGCAGAAGATTGTTTGTTCTTCTATAGATAACAGATAAGACCATGTTTGTGCTTCCTCTATAGATAACAGATAAGACCATTAAGGCTCCTTAGGTCTCAATATTATAGCTAGGCTGTATATAAAAAATATTTTCATCTCTGTTCATCTTCAATCTTTATATTTTACTATCCTGTATGTATGTCATTTCACCTACTCCCATATCCACCTCCACCCAATCCTTCCCTCATTCCTTCCTAGTTTCTATTACCTGAATGCTGTTTTCAAAACACATTTTCCTCAACGTGCAACATAAATATATACCTCTTATAATTTGATTATAATTTGACTATTTTCCCAATGGAACATGAAGGTCTATTTATTCCACTGCACTTCCAAGTTGAAATCCCCATCATTAAAGTGACCATTGCTAAAGAGTACATTGGTCACTGTATCAGGCAATGTTCCATCATTGGTCACTGTATCAGGCAATGTTCCATCATTGGTCACTGTATCAGGCAATGTTCCATCATTGGTCACTGTATCAGGCAATGTTCCATCATTGGTCACTGTATCAGGCAATGTTCCATCATTGGTCACTGTATCAGGCAATGTTCCATCATTGGTCACTGTATCAGGCAATGTTCCATCATTGGTCACTGTATCAGGCAATGTTCCATCATTGGTCACTGTATCAGGCAATGTTCCATCATTGGTCACTGTATCAGGCAATGTTCCATCATTGGTCACTGTATCAGGCAATGTTCCATCATTGGTCACTGTATCAGGCAATGTTCCATCATTGGTCACTGTATCAGGCAATGTTCCATCATTGGTCACTGTATCAGGCAATGTTCCATCATTGGTCACTGTATCAGGCAATGTTCCATCATTGGTCACTGTATCAGGCAATGTTCCATCATTGGTCACTGTATCAGGCAATGTTCCATCATTGGTCACTGTATCAGGCAATGTTCCATCATTGGTCACTGTATCAGGCAATGTTCCATCATTGGTCACTGTATCAGGCAATGTTCCATCATTGGTCACTGTATCAGGCAATGTTCCATCATTGGTCACTGTATCAGGCAATGTTCCATCATTGGTCACTGTATCAGGCAATGTTCCATCATTGGTCACTGTATCAGGCAATGTTCCATCATTGGTCACTGTATCAGGCAATGTTCCATCATTGGTCACTGTATCAGGCAATGTTCCATCATTGGTCACTGTATCAGGCAATGTTCCATCATTGGTCACTGTATCAGGCAATGTTCCATCATTGGTCACTGTATCAGGCAATGTTCCATCATTGGTCACTGTATCAGGCAATGTTCCATCATTGGTCACTGTATCAGGCAATGTTCCATCATTGGTCACTGTATCAGGCAATGTTCCATCATTGGTCACTGTATCAGGCAATGTTCCATCATTGGTCACTGTATCAGGCAATGTTCCATCATTGGTCACTGTATCAGGCAATGTTCCATCATTGGTCACTGTATCAGGCAATGTTCCATCATTGGTCACTGTATCAGGCAATGTTCCATCATTGGTCACTGTATCAGGCAATGTTCCATGGTAGCTTTGTTATTTTGCTCAATTACTCATCTGACCTGATGATACAAAACCATAATGGACATGTTTATGTGAACTAATAATTAATAAACCTCAGTGTGAGCCCATTCCCTTGTTGGACTTGACAGGTAGGATGTTAACAGAGACGTTTCTGGGTAAATGCCCATTCAAAACAAAAAATGTATATATCTGTTACATTACAGATTCAAGTTTTTTTTACTGCTGATATGTACATATGGCTAAATTTTACTTTATAAACAAGCATTAACTCAGAAAATCCTGTTCTTTCATGTTAAAGAAATGAGAAAAATTGTATTTGGATGTTTTTCAATATCTGATTAAGATTTTCTAGTTTAAGGACCAGTACTTTGGCAATCCCCCAACATATCCAGGAAACCCACTGTCACTGCAATATGGAACTATAGCAAATACCCAGGAAACCCACTGTCACTACAATATGGAACTATAGCAAATACCCAGGAAACCCACTGTCACTACAATATGGAACTATAGCAAATACCCAGGAAACCCACTGTCACTACAATATGGAACTATAGCAAATACCCTGGAAACCCACTGTCACTGCAGTATGGAACTATAGCAAATACCCAGGAAACCCACTGTCACTGCAATATGGAACTATAGCTAGTACCCAGGAAACCCACTGTCACTGCAATATGGAACTATAGCTAGACAAAATGAAGCTTTACAGTGTCTATCACTCTATCTGTGTCACTTTGATTGTCACCTACAATGGTCAAATTTTAAACAATATTACCTCATGGATACTGGAATTGGTATTGTATTGTGTGACAATACATACAGAGTTATTGCCCCTTGCATTGTGTGACACTATATACAGAGTAATTACCCTTTGTTAAAAAAAAATATACTAGAGTTTGTTGTTAGATTGGGGGACGAGGTATTGCTAGAATTGCAGTATGCTTCCTTTGCCTGCTTGTCATAAATTATATGTATTGTACATGTTTCTATATGAATTGCTTTGTTATTTTTTGCAGAAACCAAAATAAAGTAGGAATTAATGCACAGTAATTATAATACTTTAGAAAATCCAAAAGTATTCAAATTGTTTGTACATACACTAAATACTTTTCTTTCTTTTTCCAGGCCTATGTGAAGAACATACATGAAGAAACAATAACTGTACAATTTGAAAATGAGTAAGTTTCTTGTTTTATTTAAGATAATAAAGATCCACATTCTATATGATTTATATTCCATTTTAAGATTAAAAGCTAACTATACAAATTGTAATGGGACATACAAACTATGTTTAGAAGTGTAAATAACCTACGATTTTTAGCTCACCTGGCCCAAATTTAAAGGTCCAAGTGAGCTTATGGCATATCGCAGCGTCCATCGTCTGTCAACTTTTTACATTTTAATCTTCTTCTTCATAATTACTAAGCCAATTTTGACCAAACTTGACATGGAACATCACTAGGACATGGGGATCTGAATTTTTGAAATTTATGGGGCTGAATAGGTAAAAAATGGAGTCATCTTTAAAAAATCTTCTTCTCTACTCCTACAAGTATACGTAGTAGATAGTAATGGCACATTTAATTATAATCATCAAATAGCCCTCTTTTGAATTTATGAAATTTATGGCCCTGGGGTCAAGGAGACAAGAGGTAGGGCAGGGTCAATATTGTGTACTTGCAATTATGTATTTATACATTTAATTTTCTTCTTCAAAACTACTGACTGGGCCAATTTTGACCAAATTCGACTTTGAACATCACTAGGACATGGGATTCTGAATTTATGAAATTTATGGGGCTGCACCCCCAGGGGCCTGAGGGGCGGGGGCAAATAGGTAAAAAATGGGGTAATCTTTAAAAATCTTCTTCTCTACTCCTTCAAGTAGCAGAGAGTAATGGCACATTTAATTATAATCATCAACTAGCCCTCTTTTGAATTTATGAAATTTATGGCCCTGGGGTCAAGTGGTATAGTGGGGTCAATATTGTATGTTATGGATCGTTGTCTCTTTGAAACAGTTGAGATCCCCACCCCAAAACCATGTAGAGTATTGCTGGGCATCAAGAGATAAACACAATCATGATGTAAAATTTGGCCCTGGAGTTTTTTCCCACCCCTAGGGATTTAGTTTCTGGGTTATATCTTTGAAACCGTTGAGATCCCCACCCCATAACCATATATAACATTGCTTGGCATCAGGAGATAAACACAAGCATGATGTTAAAAGAAGCCCTGGGGTCTTTCCCCACCCCTAGGGACTTAGTTTCTTGGTTATATCTTTGAAACAGTTGAGATCCCCACCCCATAACCATATATACAATGGCTGAGTATAAAGAGATGAATGCACATAGGCTTCTAGGATGGCCTTGGGGTCTGCCCCACACTTGGAGATTTTACCCCTGGGTCATAACTGCACCAATGCAAGGCGGCTGGGGTTTGATTCCCTGATCAGATGTTAATAGGTATGGGGTCACCTGACCGACCATGTTGGGTTTCTCCGCCTACTCTGGTTTCCTCCCACATTACGACCCTGTGCACTCAACATTCGGGCCAAAAAATGATTACCCGTGCTAATATAAGTTGAAATAAATGTTGTAAAACAAATAAAGTTAAAATATAGTTATATGGTTGAATCCAGAATCTGAATAGTGGATGATTACATATAACAGGTTTTAAACAGGACTACAGGTGGGTTTCCTCCTAAAATTACATCATATGAAATGGACAGACAGTGGATATATTTCTTTTTTTCACAGCTGGCAGCCAGAACAAGAGATCAAGTTCAGCTGTGCGAGGTTGCCTCCGAAGGTGGTGGTGAAAAGGACTGACTATGTGGAAGGTGAAATGGTGGAGGTAGGTAGAGAAAATGGGGCATTTCTTCTCCTCTGTCTTGTACCCAGTCAGTTTATCATTATCATATTTAATAATGCAAATATCTTTGTTGTGAAAAGTTAATTTCTATATTGTAAATGGTATGAAAAGTTATACAAGTTGTTGTACAATATTGAATAGGAAACTGAAACGTGTCTTCTGGTCTCTTGTGCTTGCTTGATCACCCCATTACTCCAGTAGCTGTGTATGATTATACCCGACAGATGATCCCAGCCTGAATGTCCATGATTTAAGTCGTAAACCTTGTTAATCATTATGGCACTGGTTTACTCAACACTACATAACAGCCTTGTACTGTACATGTGTGACCAATTTATATATATGGCAGATCGTTAGAACTCTAGACTTGATAGTTTTATAGCCTTTGGAAACTGATAAACATCTCCTGTCACTTACTAGCAATGAAGCCCCAATGACAGAAGTGTTTATATTCAGTTTCATTTTGACCATTAATAATCTTACCCTGCTATGAAATAGGGAGAGCATATGGCATTGGCTATGTTGTCTGGCACATGCTGATGTCATTGCTGTACCGCCTTCATGTTAACGTGACATAACTATATACAAATAGCAGTAGACAAATGGAGCTGATCCAATGTCAAGGTCTGGGCTACTGTTTCAATCCACTGCACAATATTTGTTCAGATTATAAGAATGAAACTTCTTATACCGGAGGATTCTGTACACCACTTCCCCAAAAGAGCTTTAGATTCAAGGTCATAGATCTGTGGAAGTCACAAGTTCTATTAATCAAAAACCTACCATCATTTTTTCAGCCTAGTTTTCTTTCTGTTACATGTTTATTATTGTCTGAAGGATGTTAAACCTTTATGTTTTGTAATTGTGTTGGTTTTCCAACACTTTTATTCTACTTTCACTTTGTGTTATTCATATTTGTACAGTATCACATTATGAATACTAACAAATACTTGTAGTGTTCTCAACTTATATATAGAAACTTTGATAGCATTAAAGATACCTACCATAGTTTATAAAGTAAATAAATGAAAGTGAAAGTGAAATGGGTTGATTGATTTGTACCGTGTTATCTTGTGTCAATAGGTGAAGTTTACTATAGAAAATTTACCAGAAGCTTTACAAACTCTTCTATAATGTCATTTATGTACCTGGGTATATATATTTATATCCTGTGTTTATATTAAACTTGAAAAAAATCAAAATTTATTTTTGAAGGTGAATGTATTACCTAGCAAACTTGAACAGGTGAAAGTGTAAGGAAGCTGCTCAAAAATGTTTGAACTTCTGTTCAATAGATATGATATGATATATATCATTGTTATGTATATATAATATTTTAAATAACTTGGCAATTAAAATATATTTTATAAACAGAATAATTTTGACTATAATTCAATGATAATATTTCATATATTTATTAGAATAAAAAAATAAATGCTTTGTAAAATTAGAATATAACATAATTGCATTATGATATCATGCATCAATTATTTACATAAACATTAAAAATCTGATAATTTAGATTCTAAGGTTAATATTGCACAGACCATATGTTTAGATTGATAAGCCTGTGTGTATGTCATACTCTCCGACCATTCTCTAGACTAGACATCATGGGGAATTTTAAGATAAACTGATGTGTGTTATGTGGTGCGAGCCTTATCAGTAGGAATGATGACTATCTGCAGTGTTACACACACACTGTGATGCCATTTCTTATTCTCCTATAGCCATTGGGTTACGTTACTTTAGTTCAAGAAAAACACATCCTGTTAAGTCCTATTAAATTGAAAAGAATACAACAACGAATACAACAGGAGACTGAACTGTTGGTCAGTACTGGTACAGCAGTAAATCAAGCTTAACCTTGACACTTTTGTCGTTAGAACCCTTGTTGGGAACATTGAACCTTAAAACAGATGTTCTAACATTTGGTACATTGTACGACACCAGCCACATAGGGGTGTAGATAGGGAATTCTGACCAAGGGGTTAACTTAAGTAAAGGCTTGCCCAGAGATTTGCACCAGTTTGAAAATCCCGATGGGCAAATTTCACCTACTCCCCCTGGCATGAAAGAGTATTTTTCTCTCATTCCAATCACAAGGAACAGCTCAGACACCACTTAAAAAGAGTCACATCGTGCCATCGCTAGGAATTTTCTGATTTTGCGACATCATGTACTATGTACATGTCATCGTGGTCGCATTGTGATGTCACACACTAAATGGAGTGGAAGATCGAAATTTCTTATAGCCCTGTATAATTACCCTGCACAATTCTATCACTTACGCACTGGAATAAGAGAAATCTCTGTCTCCCATACCTGTGGGTGTAGAATATCTCTACCCCTAATAGTAATACCTGTGGGTGTAGAATATCTCTACCCCTAATAGTAATACCTGTGGGTGTAGAATATCTCTACCCCTAATAGTAATACCTGTGGGTGTAGAATATCTCTACCCCTAATAGTAATACCTGTGGGCGTAGACTATCTCTACCCCTAATAGTAATACCTGTGGGTGTAGACTATCTCTACCCCTTATAGTAATACCTGTGGGTGTAGAATGTTTCTACCCCTAATAATAATACCTGTGGGTGTAGAATGTCTCTACCCCTAATAGTAATACCTGTGGGTGTAGAATATCTCTACCCCTAATTGTAATACCTATGGGTGTACATATAGGATATTGATAGAGCTGTTCCATTGAAGACAACGGTTTTGTGGGGTGTACTCCCATACCTTTCGGTATAGTAGATATGGGTTTTTGTGAGTGTACGATACTACTAGCTGTGCATATGCATGCCATACCCTCAAACAACCTATGTCTCTACATCTGCCCATCAGTGACATGCCATATCTGTTTTAAAATCACACATAGGTTTAATTAAAATTCAACCTGTATCATGTAATGGCAGGCTCAGCGCTGAAGCCACACATGAAGACCTATTATTGAGTCAGACAGTAAGTGAAACAGACTGTACAGGGTACTGTATATTCTGCATTACTATGTGATCATATAGTGTTAATTGGATTTTTATGAAAAATAGGATATGACCACAGTTATATGAAATTGAAACGTTAATTTGCTGTGTGCTTAAATGTGTCTTTCCTGATAATATTTTGATGTTGTACTTATTTATAATATGTCTAATATACAATGTTATCATATGGATATTGTGTTATGCAGTGTCATAAAGCCATCACATAAATTATGTTTATGTAACGTGTGTAATATCACTCTGGAAATGACCTCACAATCGATCAATGTGACGTCACGTCATTGTGAAGCGGATACAATTTTCATTATTTCAGAGGCAGCCAAGTGCAAAATATTTGGCTCACAAACATGAAAAATCCAAACTTGTATCATAAATCTAATTTGAAGGGAAACTTATGACAGATCCTCTATGTATGAAGACCCTTTCCTTATCCTACCCCATATGAACATTTGACCCACATCAGCCCTCAGCCCAATGTAGGGTTCTTGGGTTAATACAAGGCAAAATATTGAGATGGTCATATTTAAGTATATATATATGTTACTGACAGTTGTCATGTGGCAATGTAGGGTTAAGAGATTCTTTATATATGAGGGGGAAAAGATGGAAATTTTACCTACCATTGTACCGATAGTAATAACAGGGGGGTGGAGACCCAACGTCCCTGCAAAAGGAAGTCCATAGTGGCCACGGTAGGGATCCTGGGCTGGAGACCTTAATGGTATTCAACAGTGCTCATCAGGGAAAGCAGAGCAATTGAAAATAGAAATGATGAGCATCAACACCACTGAATCCAGTACAAAATGTAATGTTTGATTTACGTCGTATGTACCAATAGTAAATGTGGTGAACTGAATCCAGTACAAAATGTAATGTTTGATTTACGTCGTATGTACCAATAGTAAATGTGGTGAACTGAATCCAGTACAAAATGTAATGTTTGATTTACGTCGTATGTACCAATAGTAAATGTGGTGAACTGAATCCAGTACAAAATGTAATGTTTGATTTACGTCGTATGTACCAATAGTAAATGTGGTGAACTGAATCCAGTACAAAATGTAATGTTTGATTTACGTCGTATGTACCAATAGTAAATGTGGTGAACTGAATCCAGTACAAAATGTAATGTTTGATTTACGTCGTATGTACCAATAGTAAATGTGGTGAACTGAATCCAGTACAAAATGTAATGTTTGATTTACGTCGTATGTACCAATAGTAAATGTGGTGAACTGAATCCAGTACAAAATGTAATGTTTGATTTACGTCGTATGTACCAATAGTAAATGTGGTGAACTGAATCCAGTACAAAATGTAATGTTTGATTTACGTCGTATGTACCAATAGTAAATGTGGTGAACTGAATCCAGTACAAAATGTAATGTTTGATTTACGTCGTATGTACCAATAGTAAATGTGGTGAACTGAATCCAGTACAAAATGTAATGTTTGATTTACGTCGTATGTACCAATAGTAAATGTGGTGAACTGAATCCAGTACAAAATGTAATGTTTGATTTACGTCGTATGTACCAATAGTAAATGTGGTGAACTGAATCCAGTACAAAATGTAATGTTTGATTTACGTCGTATGTACCAATAGTAAATGTGGTGAACTGAATCCAGTACAAAATGTAATGTTTGATTTACGTCGTATGTACCAATAGTAAATGTGGTGAACTGAATCCAGTACAAAATGTAATGTTTGATTTACGTCGTATGTACCAATAGTAAATGTGGTGAACTGAATCCAGTACAAAATGTAATGTTTGATTTACGTCGTATGTACCAATAGTAAATGTGGTGAACTGAATCCAGTACAAAATGTAATGTTTGATTTACGTCGTATGTACCAATAGTAAATGTGGTGAACTGAATCCAGTACAAAATGTAATGTTTGATTTACGTCGTATGTACCAATAGTAAATGTGGTGAACTGAATCCAGTACAAAATGTAATGTTTGATTTACGTCGTATGTACCAATAGTAAATGTGGTGAACTGAATCCAGTACAAAATGTAATGTTTGATTTACGTCGTATGTACCAATAGTAAATGTGGTGAACTGAATCCAGTACAAAATGTAATGTTTGATTTACGTCGTATGTACCAATAGTAAATGTGGTGAACTGAATCCAGTACAAAATGTAATGTTTGATTTACGTCGTATGTACCAATAGTAAATGTGGTGAACTGAATCCAGTACAAAATGTAATGTTTGATTTACGTCGTATGTACCAATAGTAAATGTGGTGAACTGAATCCAGTACAAAATGTAATGTTTGATTTACGTCGTATGTACCAATAGTAAATGTGGTGAACTGAATCCAGTACAAAATGTAATGTTTGATTTACGTCGTATGTACCAATAGTAAATGTGGTGAACTGAATCCAGTACAAAATGTAATGTTTGATTTACGTCGTATGTACCAATAGTAAATGTGGTGAACTGGAATAATGCTTTCTTCTTTAGCTAAGGCTTTCCGTTCCCATGTATGTATGTCATAATGTCATCATAATGTGACAAGGAAAACAATTAAAGGATGTTGTGGTTATCACATCTTATAAAGACAGGCTGGCATCAAAATTTCTCGCTGAACAATGTCCTTATCATTGATTTATATGAGACAAGATGAGATACGGGACAAAATTAATCCATCATCAGCATAGTCATTTTATTTAGGGATAAAGGACTTTGCTCCCGTGTAGAATTTCCGTACCCCTCATACTTACATTTGATAGGTCTATTAACAGCACTACGTTTCACCTCATGGCCTTGTATTTATTTGTCACTAATAATATCCATTCCAGGTGTTTTCGAGGGCCAATGAAGCAGAGGAGTTTGGGTGGTGGCAAGCACTTGTGAAAATGCTCAAAGGAGAGTTTGCGGTGATGGAGTTCACAGGGTGGGACACGTCATCGTACACAGATATAGTCCCTCTGGAGAGGATCAGAAGCATCAATCCTAAGTAGGTCATCGTCACAGTAAGATTTATGTGTAATAGGTCCTGATCAGTGTTCCTGGAGTTAGTAATCACCAATGGAGACAGATTCTGTCTGCCCATCATTATTTAACAATATGGTCAAATATTGTAATTTGTGTAAAACTGCGTAAATGGTTATTTTACTGCAGTGATATTTTAAAGTCGGCCCACATATTCAACACAACAGTAAACATTTTTAATAAAGTAGCACTTCTTTCATTAGAGTCTTAAATCCCACAATTCAACATTAAACAAACTGTATTTGTGCACATTAATACAGAAATAAAGTTGGAGGAAACAAACCTGTATACTTTAACAGTGAAGCCTCAAATTAGTTTTAACTAAGTGAGTATTAAGTTTCAAACATTAATTCCATCAGTTGTACAGAACACATGTGACAAACCTTTCAATGTTGACCAGGTGTGCTTTTGCTTTGCAGTAAACCTTTAACGAAAACTAGCTTTAACAAGTACGTCATCGATGTTCCTGTGGATTTACGGGAAATGTAAGTACAGGCTGTATGTCACTATCGTCTAAGTTGTCAGTCGTCAAGTTCCTGTGGATCGACAGGACATTCAGTTCCTGAGGTCGATGTAAATTATAGACATTCCTGTGCTGGCATACGGAGCTTGTTTTTGGGTTGTCTGATAGGCCAGTTTAAAGTTAAGGATCTCCATGCCACTGGCAGAAACTATAACCTAGTACTCAAAACTGTTTGTTTCTGGTATGACTAAAGATAAATCATTTCTGAAAAGAAAAACATACCTTGTGGGAATTGTATGAGTAACGATAAAGATGAAATAAACAAAATATGATCAACAACAGTGTTCTGGGTGTTGAAAAAAATCACTACAGACTAGACCTGGATTCAAACCCATAGAACTACTAAACTATCGCTCTAACTGACTGAGCTACCTGATCATCTGTCATTTTATCTTTTTATAGAAAAAGAATTGTTCAGTGATATGTCTGATAACTTATAAATATGATTGTAATAAGCAAGCTCACCTCACAACATATTTATTAGTTTTGATTCGGATGCTGTTCTATGTTATATTTTAATTCTTGGATTTCAGTTGTAAAGATGAAAATGCCCACACTGAATTCAAGAAGCACTGTAATGCTGTGTCTGTGGCATACAATGAAACAGATGGTACACTTGTTGTGTTGGTAAGTGTTGAATTATCCTCGATACTCCAGGGGCTACGCTCGCTTATGCTCTCAGCACCCCGGGAATATGTCATGGCAAAATTGAAGGCACGCAGCTAGCCATTTGATTGGTCTTGGGGTAAACAAAAAGCTGACAAATCACTAGGCTGATACCTGTCCTTTGAAGATTACTGAGGAGTGATGCCCGACTTTAGAGCTAGTCAATTTTTACCATAACACAACCGCGAGATTCTTTTGATGTACATCAAAGGATCGACCTAGTCTTCTCGTCTCATCAACAAGGTGGTTCACACTGAGCCTTCAATTTTGCTTGGACTTTTTCCATGGGTGCAGAGAGCGTAACGGAGCGAACCCCTTGAGTATCAATGATGGTGTTGAATTGACAGAAAAAGCACTGTAATGCTGTATCTAAGGCATATAATGGAAATCAAAGTACCATGGTCAATGTAGAGTTAATGAACTTTGTAGGTGGGACTAGCGTTCAGGTTGTAGTAGATGTAAAACCAAACGGATTTAGGTTTCTGAGAGTTTCTGAGGTTATAGACCTCGGTCTTCATGTTTAAATGTTAAGTTATCATCATGAACACAACAAAACCCGGTGCTGTCAGTTTAATGTTTTCATGGAAATAATCAAGACCATCCTTGGAACTATTTTCAAAGATAACTTATGTGCACAAATCCGCTTTCTGTAGTTGCAGTTTTAGGTGATATGAAAATAAAATGTTGACCTCTTTTTTAGTCCACAAGTGACTCGGTCATCAAGAGGGCTACCATGTTAGGAGATATGCACCTGAGGAACCTTAGACAGAAGTTATTACTGAAACAGAGGACGGAGGAGGCTGTGAAAAGGTTACAGGTAAATTACTGAAACAGAAGATGGAGAAGGCTGTGAAAAGGTTACAGGTAAATTACTGAAACAGAGGACGGAGGAGGCTATGAAAAGGTTACAGGTAAATTACTAAAACAGAGTTTGGAGGAGGCTGTGAAAAGGTTACAGGTAAATTACTGAAACAGAGGACGGAGGAGGCTATGAAAAGGTTACAGGTAAATTACTAAAACAGAGTATGGAGGAGGCTGTGAAAAGGTTACAGGTAAATTACTGAAACAGAGGACGGAGGAGGCAGTGAAAAGGTTACAGGTAAATTACTGAAACAGAGGATGTAGGAGGCTGTGAAAAGGTTACAGGTAAACAGTTGACTCAGGCAAGTGAATATAAGGTGTCATATACAGGGTGAATGGTTACAGATAAATCAAGTAAATATTGTACATCTCTGGTGATGTAATGGGAGTATAGTGAATGTTACATAAAAATTATGTTGTTTTGAAAGGTAACATAAATGTCTATTGACAATTGTTATTAACTTTTAATTTTGCCAGGGATGCATTTCATTGAGAGACTATCAATCTATTCTTATATTCTATGCTGTGTTGTTAGTTAACAATGCTTTAGTGTTTGTTTTGATGCCTAAGGAGGAAAATAGTAAGTTCTGTATTCACAACTACTCGTGCTTGCTTTATATACTTCATGAGTCCCACTGTTCATTTTATTTCAGGTACAGGATATTAATATAATCCATACAGTATATACAATACATACAGTATATACAATACATACAGTATATATATACAATACATACACCATATACAATACACTATATACAATACATACACTATATACAATACATACACTATATACAATACATACA